AGGACTACTTAGGCCATCTCCAACCGATTCGGCCAAAGGGCCATAAGGTTGAGAATAGCCCGAAATGACACAAAAATCGTCTCCAACCAAGGGCTAGGTCAAAGGGCTCGTGGGCCCCATCGGGCCAAAAAAGGAGAAACGGGCTAACCGGCTGGTCCAAACCAGCCAGCCAGCTCGAGCCAATCTAGGTTTTTGAATCCCAACGGCTACTAGCTGACGTCAGCTAGCCGTTACATTTGATTTTTTTTTTTTGTTGTTTTTGTTTTTTTTACAAATTTTAAAAAAATAAAATAAAAAGAGTATTGAGATTACATCTTGAAATTTTATTGAGGTAGTTTAATTTAAGTAATCATAGTAATTTAATTAAAATAATAAATTATGTTTGGCCTATGACCCTTTGGTTTTTCGGTGGAGATGATTTTTTGTTACATGACTATATTTGGTCTATGACCATTTGACCCTTCTGGTTGGAGATGGTAGGAAATATAACTTGACATTATTTTTAAAATATTAACTTTTTAGATGACTATAGGACTAAAACGAACCCTCGTATTCTCTTTCAGTTGAAAATGACCAAAGTGTTCATTCCAGAACTTTTTTGTAACGATCCATATGTGCGCATATATAGCTACAGTGTTGTGTGTTGGGATAAAAGCAAAATCAGTGTGAATGGGTTGAACAAAGCAAAAAGCAGGTGAACTCATAATGCGCTTGGACAAAAGCCAAAGCAGTGTGTATGGGTTGAATAAAGCAAAAAGCAGTGAACTCATAATGCGCTTGGACAAAAGCAAAAGCATAATGAATTGGTTTAATAAATCCAAAACCAGATGAACTCATAATGCGCTTGGACAAAAGCAAAAGCAGTATGAATTGGTTGAATAATGCAAAAGCAGCTGAACTCATTGTGCCAATAGCATTCTCTTCGGATTGTTTTTTTTTGAGAATCTTAGAAATTCGTAAATTGTGTTTTTTTATTGTACGTTATATGGTTAATTTTTGTTAAATATTGTTTGTATTTAATTTTAAATAAAAATATTTAATATAATTTTTTACTACATAATATACAATAAACGAACATAATTTACGAATTCCTAAAATTCTTACAAAGAGAATCTTGCGAGAATCCGGATTCCTCATTATGAGTTTGGATAAAAACGAATGGGCTGAAAAAGTAAATCATAAGAATGAAACTTAATGATATGTACCCAGCTGGAAGTAGAGAATTTTTTCAATGTGACCGGTATACAAGATGATACATTACGTTTCATTATACAAATTGTGGGATATGTGTGCTAAATAGTTAATAATTTAAAAAAATAAAATTTTTCATTACTCATATTAAAACACGTGATGTACCATTTGTATTACTGTCACAACTTCTCCTGCAAGTGGGCCATTAGACTTTTACACCTACATCAATAAATCCCAAATATTTTTGGAAAAGGGTAAGCTATTTCCACTCATTTTTATCTGTCAAATACTTTCATTAATTTTGTCTATTATTTTTTTTCATTTCATTGGATTCGACGGTAAAAATTAAGTGTAATGTGTAACAAGTAAAAATGAGTGTGTAAATAATATTTTTCATTTGAAACTTTTTAGCAGTCTTAATGCAAAAGTTCATCTTTCCCTCGTAACACACAAATTGTTGTATGGTAAATTGGAGATAAGCTTGCTTGCACTTCTTGACACGCCAATTGTGTTGCCGTGAGCTAATTAATAAAACAATGTCGTGTGTAGTTAAGACGTTATTTGTTAATCAGGACTTGAATGTGAAAGTCCACCAACCATCACAAGACGGCTCAATAATTAGAGACGAATTTCATGTTTATATTTCACACGAAACATTATGAGTTTGACTCTTAAAATTGGTAAATTATACAATGATAATTAAGAAAAATTGAAATGTTTATGTGAATCTTTCCAATTTGGTTATTTTGAGACATTTAGAAACAATTTTGTTTGTTAATGTCCAAAGAAATTAAAAAAAAAATGAATCATTAAAAACATTATGTTTATAAAAGAAATAATAAAAGAACTTTAAAAAATAAATTGGATTGCCCGAAAGAGTGATACTTTTAAAAATAAATTATGAAGGCCTACCTACTCTGTTTTATTTTTATTCATTTTTGTTTGGTAAAGAAGACCGCAGCCATTGTAGGATTGTAACCTCAAGAGTTGCCTACCATGTGTTATTTCTGTTATTTATTTTGTTTGGATTTTTATCACAAATATGCTTTGAAATTCACCTATCTCGTTAAGATGATTTTTTAAATTGAAAATCGATCAATGCAATATCTGAAAAAGGATATCGCAAATCAATGTGGTCCAGTCCTTCCATAATAATTCTATTACTTTTATTTTTAAATTTTTATCATTTGAAATGATGATTATGATCATGATAAAATGGTGGTGCCAACGTGTAGAAGCGGTAATCATTGCATTATGGTGAATGATGAAGTATATCATAATAAATAGAAGAAATTCATCAAAATTTTAGACGGAGAGGTTGAAACATGCTCAAAATCAGGAGAGATTTTTCAGTGTGATCGGTACACGGGATGGTACACCACGTGTCACTATACAAATTATTGGATATGTGTGCTAAAAAGTTAATAACTTAAAAAATAAAATTTCTCACCACTCCTATTAAAACACGTGATGTACCACTTGTGTTCCCGTCACAACTAAAAATTTCTCCAAAATCAGCTCTCATAACTAATCAATATCTTACAAATGGCAGGTAGGAACATACTCAAAATAAGGAACTTCCCGATCTACCCAATCATCAGAAATAATTAAACGGAGAAGCTACAAATATGTAATATAGTTACTATAAGGGGTAATCATCAAGAATCAGAGTAAAATCGAATTGGATCATAGACTTTTTATAGAACCCAGATTAGAGATATCAGTATGCCTCTTAACCTATATGTAATTTTGATGAATCTTTAGGAAAAGCATTTTGATCAACAAATTTTGAGATAAAACAACATTTTGACGAATTTGAATATAAATATTGAGAATAAATTTCACATTAATGAAAAGATGAACCTTGTATGAGCTTATCATACAAACTTTTCTGGATTGATGAGTACTCAATCATTGAACATTATAAACATAGTGAAAAAAATTTGCAATGTCATTTATTTTACTATTCATAGACCTCTTTCATATACATGAGATAAACAAAATATAACAGCTAATTGAGGAATTGACGTGTTGAGTAAAAATTGTACAAGAAATATAACAAATAGTTGTTTGACACAATTTTACCCTCGTTCATCTTTTGAGGAAGGTTTTACTAGTTTAAGTTCTATTCATTCTAGATTATGGATTTATTAATTACAATCATTCGTTAAAAAAGAAAAACCCTTTGATTCCAATATGAATAAATAGTAACTTGGAGATTTGAGTTTTTGTTTGATTTTGTGGCTGTATTTAGACAAATGCCTAAATTGCCTACGTACCTATTTTGAGAGATCAAGCTGCTCATAGTTTTTTTAGAATGAATTTGAGATTTTTAGTGAGCAAATGATCCACTAAAAAGAAAGATTTTGTGTTTGGTTTATTTGAACACTTTGAATTTGTTTGAATGAATTTGGTTGAACGAACGAAAGATTAGATTTTGGGTTTTTATCATTGTACGGTTGCATCTAGATTAAATCTTTAAATTGCATGTTTATCCTTGACGGAATCGAACATGCATAGTTCATAAAATGGATTTATTTAAATTTGAATGGTGTGGCTTTGTAACATATGAGAGTTTTTGAATTTGGATTTGATTTGTTGGTTTTGTACCACTGGAGAATTTTGGAATTTGAAATTTGACGAGTATTTTGTATCAGTTATTCGATAACCGACACATGCATCGTAATCTATACTATTATTAAGAGAACTCTCATTGTCAATTTTTCGCCCTTTTTTCCTATTTTACCCTCACTTTTGATACACAATACTTATATAAGGAGGGTAAAATTGTAATTTTGTATCTTTTGCCCCTTTTTTCTATTTTGCCGTCACTTTTGATACACAATACTTACATAAGGAGAGCAAAATAGTAATTTCGTATCTTTGAGAAAAGACAATCATATTCCTATTTTTCTTATTTTACCCTCACTTTTAATACACAATATTTACATAAGGAGGACAAAACAATAATTATGTAATATTAAGATAAAATATGCACTTATTAAAATAAATTGTCCTACCATCATTTTTTCATACTCTTTTTAAAATTTTAAAAACTAATTACATTTCTTAATAAAAAAATAAAAAATAAAATAAAATTGTTTACACACATAAAATATGTGCACATCTGCTAGTATTACGAGTGGAATGGGCTGGCTTGTGCTCCATTCACGTGATGTTGTCCCTCAATCAAACCTTTTATTTTTTGGACATACAAAAGCAGCAAATGACCTTCTTTTAAGAGGTTGATAATTGGACAGCTTTCGATGAAAATTTGTTCAGTATACAACAGACTTTGCTAAAGTATGTATAAAATAATGTATTTGTTTATTCATGCTTTGGGACCTATCCCTGCTTATTTTGACGCGGAGAAGACAATATAAAATAATGTATTTGTTTCTTCAATCTTCTGCCAAACTACACAAGATTACATCCAACAAGATTGAGAATTCGGAGATTCTTTGTATATTTTAAATTAATTTTTGTTAAGTACCATTTTTGTTCAATTTTACAAAAAAACCAGCTGTAACTGGGCCATTAGACCCACCGTTCATTGTATATTTTAGATTCGTAAATAATGTACTTGTTTTTTCATAACGTGCTTGGACAACTTAATTTCTTATGATAAGAAACCAGCTGGAACTCATTGGATTTTTACATACCTTATCACAAGGATGCATCATCATCAAGAAGTTAGGTGAACTCATAATGTGCTTGGCCATTAGACTACTTATCATAAGGAAGCATCATCATCATTATTCATACTATCTCAATTCCCCTGCACTCACCTCGTCAAGAAAGAAAGAAAGATGGCCGAGCTTGCATTTCCGTTGGCATCCAAACTCATTGGAAGGCTCAGCTCCATTGCTTCTGAGGCGATTTGCTTGGCGTGGGGTGTTCAAGCGGATCTGCAGAAACTTGGACGCACCATGTCCACAATCAGAGACGTGCTCTTGGATGCCGAAGAGAAGCAAGCACGTAACAGTGGCCTACGCAGTTGGCTACGACAACTTAAAGATGTGTTCCTTGATGCGGAGGATCTGTTGGACGAGTTTGAGTGCGAAGCTTTGCGAAGGCAAGTGGTTCGTGTCAGTGGCACAACAAGAAAGGTATGCCGTTTCTTTTCCCGCTCTAATCCTGTTGCATTCCGCTTGAGAGTAGGTCATGAAATTAAGGACATAAGAGAGCGGTTACATCAGCTTAAAGATGATAAGAAATTTGCTGATCTTCGCCCTGATCACCATCATCATCAAATTAGTGATAATCTAAGGGAGAATAGGAATACGACCGACTACCTTGTCACTTCTTCGAAGGTTATTGGTAGAGAAACAGAAAAAAATAAAGTTGTTGATCTTCTAATGGTACAAGGCGATGATCATCAAGGTGGGGATAATGGAATGTCTCTGTTATTCCTATAGTGGGATTGGGAGGTTTAGGGAAGTCCACACTTGCCAATTTGGTGTACAATGATGACAGAGTCGTTGGGAGTTTTGAATTACGAATGTGGACGAAAGTGTCAGTGGACTTTGATATCACTAGATTGGCCAAAGAGATCCTTCGCTCTGCATCAGGTACAAAGATCAGTGAAGGCTTGTCTCCGCATCAGTTGCAAGAACAACTCCGAGATGCTTTAAAGGATAAGAAATTTCTGCTTGTCTTGGATGATGTGTGGAACGAAGATCGTAACAAATGGTGCCAGTTGAGAGATATGTTGACAGAGGGGGCCAAGGTAGGAACTAAGGTTTTGGTGACGACACGGAATAGCTCAGTTGCTTCAATCATGGGCACGGTTGAAAGCATAAATTTAGACCTTCTCTCTTTTGAGGATTGTTTGTCTTTGTTTGTAAAGTGTGCATTTAAAGAAGGACAAGAAAGACAACATCCAAGCCTCTATGAAATGGGAAAAGATATTGTAAGAAAGTGCGGAGGGGTTCCCTTAGCTGTGAAAACCTTAGGTAGTCAACTTTACTCAAAGACTGATGAGCGTCAATGGAAATTGATTAAAGATTCTGAGATATGGGAATTAGAACAAGATGGAGATGGTCACATTCTACCTGCTTTGAGACTGAGTTATACTCAATTGCCCTCTCATTTGAAGCAGTGCCTTGCCAGCTGTTCAATTCTTCCAAAGAATTACATTGGATTTAGTACCGTGGATTTGATCCATAATTGGATGGCACATGGAATCCTTGAATCTCGTGAACATGGGGATATGGAGTTGCATGATGTTGGTGAGCTATATTTCAAAGAGTTATGGGACAGATCTTTCTTTCAAAATGTTAAGGATTGCGCTTTCTTCTATCAATTTGATATGCATGATCTCATCCATGACCTTGTACAATCAGTCGCACAAGGTGAGAGTTTGACAGTAGACTCTGCAGGCACCAAAGGCGTCTCTGAAAATGTAAGACATCTAGCATTTTTGGAAGTTGGCCAAAATGTTTCAACAACCTTGCAAAAGTTGAATAAAGTGCGGACTATAGAAATGGGGAGATGTGAAAATATTGATGAATCCTTCCCCTGCACTTGCATTTCAAGATTCAAATATCTGCGGGTGCTTAGCTTAGGCAATACATCTCGGGAATTGTTGCCGAGTTCCATTGGTTCTTTGAAGCATTTGAGATGCCTGAACTTGTTTGGAAATGAAAGAATCATCGCACTACCCAATTCAATTTGTAAGCTGCAGAGCTTGCAAACTCTGCATCTTGGTGGATGCGTGAATCTTGAAGAGTTGCCTAGAGACATGAGAAAGTTGATCAGCCTCAGAAGCCTTGTAATAACCACAAAACAATCAAGTTTTCCAGAGAATGGAGTGGGATGCTTGACAGCACTTCGATTTCTTGTTATTGTGGAGTGTAGTAATCTAACGTGTTTGCCACGTGATACGAGTTATCTCGCGTCATTACGCACTCTGGTGATAGGCATATGTGAACAACTTGATTTGGTGATGGAAAACTATCAGGTAATTCCGCTAAGGCTCCAAAAATTGTGGATTCAAGGAGTACCACGAATGGTCGCATTGCCTGAATGGTTTCAAGGAGCCGCAAACACACTACAGGTCTTGGTTATAGAAGATTGTGAGAATTTGGAGGCATTACCTGAGTGGTTGACGAGTTTCACATCGCTTAGAAGGCTTAAGCTCGAATCATGTCCCAAACTGTTGTCTTTGCCAGAGGAGATGCATCGCCTCACTGCCTTAACAGAGGTTAGGATTATAGATTGCCCTGATTTGGAGAGGAGATGTCAGCGCGACACAGGAGAAGATTGGCCAAAGATTTCTCATGTTCCAAATGTTTCTTTTGAAGGGCTATGAATTTCTCGAGATGCAAATTGAAACATACACTGCTGTCTTCAATGCCGCCTGGCTCTGTTTGTCTTAGTTTCTGAGTTGCTTGTAGTTTGTTCCGGCCAATGTAAATTGTGGTGGGGGCACAAGTGGATTTATATTTCAGTAGATTAAAACATGTTTGATTTATTGTAATATTACTCCAATTTAATCAACCTTATTTACATCAAACTCCTTCCTTATCAGTCACACTTTGAATCAACCTTACTCGACTATTTTACTTGCTTATTTGTTTCTTGGAAACTCAAGTCTTTTAGAAGCGGTATTCTCCGATCTAGTAATTCCGACGGTCGGAGATTTCAGCGTCATCAAACTAGGTAAAAGTATGAGACGAATTCAGCATTTAAATAGAAGAAAGGTTGCCCGCTAAATCAAATTTTGACCCATCTCATAACAAAATAAAATAAAATTTTTACTAAACAATAATCAACTTCTGGATTTCAAGCCCCGAAGACTTAGGCAGAGTGAAAACTTTGTTATTTGTCATTCAAGTTAATGATGTAATCCAATTCTCAGAAGCATCAAAGAGAAATGGAATGAACTAACAAATGATCTAACAAATGGGGTGAGCCTCAGGTACATGATGGAGTTCGGGTCCCGGCCGACGGCGTGGACCCAACTGATCTAACAAATGGCTTACATCACTCAATGAGTTCTTGTTGAGATTAATCCTTCAAATACTCTGCACGCTCGACACTGGGTCAACTCACAAGGGAGTATCCAATCTCTTCATCTCGTGGTGGACTTTGAAGACTAATTTTATCACCAGACGTGATCAAATCCATAAATCCCACGGCCTCCATATGCTAGATGATCAATCGATATTAATCTATATTTTTTTAACTTCAATATTTTTAAAATTTATTTGATATTTTGAGAGAATTTTGATACATTCGTGACCTACGTGCCTTGTTCACGTGTAAAGCTTAAATGACCAAACACATGAACCACGTATTGAGCCACCGGTTCACGCACTCTCGCCCATATCTTATTATCCTACATATCCAAAAGTAGTGATATCCGGAGAATGATGTATTGATTTCGAAACCTCGAGTGCAAAGATGAACGCTTAACCAATCTACAACTGCATCAATTGTCTCTCAAGAAAACATAAAGAAGGAAACACGATACAAGTAGGAAAGATAGGCACTTCTATTAATAAAGAGAAACCAGAACGCTACAACATTGGCCACTCTTTCTTAGTAACATAACTTATGAAACTGGAAAACTACAACATTATTGGATAATCTAGTTACTTCCCAGGCACTTGAGTCTCTCAATCCATCTTGCTTAACCACACATCATCATCTCTTCACATGCAAGACAATGTCCTAATAGCTAAACTCTTCATATCAGATCAGACCACTTACACTTGGATCTCTACTGACCATCTGTACATCTCTTTTTCTGGTACCGGGATGGTAATCGTCGTTAATCCAGATGCAGAGTCATACTCGAAGTTGGTCTCGGCGTTGTCAACAGTGCACTTCAGCGGCCGCTGGGAACAGTATGCTCCAAACCTTCCACATCCTCTGGTTTTGAGACCAATTGTTGCAGTTGGGGATCGGTTCTCGCTAACTTCTCCATTAGAAAGCTCAGGTTTCTTGTCAGAAGCCAATTGGATTTCAACCTGCTCCACAGCAGCACTTGAATTGAACATGTCAAGTAGGCCTATTGGTGCAAATGAGAGGTCGGATGTAATTTCCTGCAAAGTACAAAATTATCAGTTACCCCACTTAGTGGGGAAAGGCTTTGTTATTGTTGTTATACAAAATTATCAGTTAGTAAAATCCTTTGCAATGATTGGAACTTTTCACGTTCAAATAAATGTTGGTGATAGCAAGACTAACCTTGAGAGGACAGAAATGGAAAACCTCATAGTCAAGAACTTTAAGAGTCACAGGCACTGAAGCACCTTTTGGCAACCGAAGAACATCACCTGACAATCAATCAACGTTTCATATCGTTATAAAGTTGAAAAGCAGGAATACTATGACAATAATGTTACGATTCATAACAAAGGCAGGTAGATTTCTTCTTAAAACTTCGCCATTATCATATTGACACGTTATTAGAGAACTCTGCTGCTTCCATGGCAATCTGAAGTGTTCCTTCAAACTAGCTTCTGTAAACAAAGTAGTGGTACCTGACTTATGAGCATAAACTACTGTTTCTCCATTCCAATCAGCACCAGCAACTTGAGTAATCATGAATGCGTGTCTTCTTTTCAATCTTGCACCAACCGGCACCTTGACAGTTAAACACACCAACTACACCAGAGAGATTGTTGACATTCCATATTTTGAGCAAGCTGCAAAGAGAATTATTCACACAAGCTTTACTCATGGAGGCTCTCAATTTTAACATAACTTTGGAAAAGCATAAAGAGAAGTAAATAGAACAAACCTTGTCCTGTCTCTTGCTGGATCAGCGAAGAGACAATCACGTGTAGGCCTGCCAGGTAACTTGGCACGGAGGACAGATCCATCAGGGAGAACCAGCTTCCTTAGGAGGTCAAAATTGTGATTGCCTGGCTTATCACTATTCATAGAAATACCAAACTTATGCATTAGAACTCCTACCTCATGAAGTGGCAATAGAATAAATTTGTTTGATACTTTGATGCATAGAATTACCTACATAGATCGCACATCCACCAAGAGCACGGGCTGCACCGTGGTACTCTGCCGCTGGGTGCAAACTCTGCAAAGGATATCATGATATACACAGATGAGTTTGTTTTCTTAATGACACTGAATGTCATGCATAATCAACCAAAACGATTGCAAATAAACATAAATATTGATGTTTCAAGCCTCCACCAAATAGAATAGACTAATATACATCAACAACTATATTTACAATTATAATATAACCATAAGTTAATGAGCACGTACATGACTAAACACTAAACTCAGGCCCTTCGAGGAAATGGCTCCTCATTAGGTTTCCATAAATCATCATCCAGAAAAGGAAAACAAAAATCAAACAAATTGCAATTGTAAATCTTGAACATACATAAATAACGATGTTTCAATCCTATGCTTAAACTATGTTTTACAATAACAATAGAACTGTAAATTTTACGAGTGTGTACATGAATAGAGGACATTCGAGGAAATGGCTCCTCACCAAGTGTCCATAAATCATCATCCAGGAAAGAGCAAACAGTACCAAATGTCCAAGACATAACGAACTAACAAAATAAGATAAAAAATGCTTCATTATTTTACTTACGTGAAACATATCCCAGTCAGGTTGCATGAATTCTCCAAGGAACAGGGTGTTATAAGCAACGGAAGATATGTGAATCGTGTGTGAAGCAGGATCTCGGGGATAGAAGTCATCAGAGGCTCTGACCACAGCAGTCTGCTTGGCACTGTAGAGCCCATCAGTGTTGTGACACATGCAAGAAATGCATCCATTGTCAGCAAAATTTCGAGCAACCGAAGCCTCAAGTGCCTGGTGGTAGCTGCGGGTCAGAGAAACTCTTCCACCATGACCAGACCCTAGAGTCTCAATGATGTTCTGAACATCAACCTTAACTCCATCGACTCCACAGGAAGCCAAGTAGGAATGAAGCTCATTGTAGAAATTGAAAACTTTCTTCGGATGTACCAAACCAAGACCATGAACAGTTAAGCTGTCCATAACTATATCTGGTTGGTTGCCCTCTACACCAGGGGACGTCACTGGGTATGCTAAAGCAGTGTCATAGTGTTCCATGCCAGTAGCAGCTGGTTTTACTCCACCCCAGTACCCAGCTAGAGCATGCCATACATAAACAAATCTGTGCCAGCAAGAAACATAAATTCGACGAATTAGTAACAATACTACTTGCTGTACAACTCTTAAAATAAATTCTAATATTGGTAAAACATCATAAAACGTCAAGCAGAGCACACAGAATTCGACAAAAAAATTATTGTTTGTTGTTAACATAGTAAGATCATTCACTCCACCATCACATATATTGGTAACTGAATTCATGTTTTAATTCTAAAGATCGTAACAAATATGATTCTCCGCGTCATCTTTACTATCACCTACCATTTTCAAGAACAAAAAATGATGTATTCTTAGATCCTAGCATTACCTTACTAAGCATCTAAAGTAGAAAAATATATATATCTAAAACGTTACTAATAGAACAGCTGGCAGTTCGGGAGTACTCGTTGCTAGTCCAAGAAAGTAACCAACCAACTAGGACTACTTACTTCACATTGTGATGCTGCTTGGCTTCATCCACAACGTGTTTCAGGCCAGAGACTCCCTCCGATAAGCTACAATCATTACAAAACAAAAAATAGCGATTTAATTAACCGATGGTAGATTCAAGTTACAGTAAATAGCAAGTTAAATATGATAACATGTCTTATTACCTTTTAAGGCCTTGATCCACACCCTCAGCTGTGACATCGGTGTAAAAGGCATCCCATGTACCCCAGCCAAACCAGTCCAGAAAAGAAGGCAACTACATGCAACGAAAAGATCGAAAATTAGATTCATTCAAGAAACGTTCGTGATACGTCATTCCAATTGCAAAACACCAATTACAGAAGAAAACAATACGTGCTGGCCTTACCTTTTTCTTCTCGTGATATGAAATTTTGAGATATTTTACATGGACATGTGCCCTGTAGTATTTTCAGTTATGTCCGTTGGGCACAAGTATCGGTTGTATGCTTGTTTGGTCTAACAAAAGTGATGCATGATTGTTTTAGAGATGTATTCACACATGCAGGTTATCATGGTTTCATTATATGAAGGATATCTGCATTGGCAGATTAATAGGCTTCAAAGAAGCATAAAATGTAACTTGCGTGTTACAATAAGATGGACTTGAAATGACATAAAATAAGACATTTTGGTCTACAACATATAATAGGAATTTAATATTAGATATTAGTGTAGATATTGTGATTTGATTTCCTTTTATGTCAATCTTATATTAAGAGTCTTGGAATACAATTAAGATTGGTTGAGGTGAATGATAGGATTTTTACCACCTGCAAAAGTAGGGATAAAAACACTAAAAAAATACTTGCAAGAGAATAAGGTAGTTGTAGTATAAACGGCTCAAGTAAGGTCATTTCTACAAGGATTGAATGAATAATTTATGTAAATACCAAATCTTAATTAATTATTTGAAAACAAAGATTGGAAAAAGT